AAATCATCATTGTGCTTATCCGAATCGGGCAACCCAATAACCAAATGGCAATCAAGCGAGCGAACACGCAAGTAATACGTGTTGTGGTCTTTGTTATGAGAAAGAGTATAACAACTAAAATATCTCATATGTCAAGGTTCAAACCCAATCGTCTATTAAGGGCAGATACGCCAGAAACAACACGGAAAAGGTTCACAGATACTTGCATTGGAGTTAACTGGACTTGATGCAGAAACCGGCGTACCAACAGGTCAAGAGGAAACCGAACCCCTCCCTCGACTATGGCCGCAATGGGAAAGGCAACGGTATTCCTCGTGCCTATACGCTTGGCGTCTACTTTCGCCAGCGAAAGGGTAACGTCGTTGGAAATATTATAGTCCAGACGGAACATAGCCATGGCCTCAAGGGTATCAACCAGTGAACGAAACTTCCCCATTCAACAAACCTAAGGGAACAGAGGTAGGACTCAGATAACAGAGTATGGAACACAGACAGCGAGTGAGCCAAATAAGATGAATAAGATAAAAAGAGGCAATAGAAGAAGAATCACAAGAGGACTTATAGAGATTAGAACAGTGGTTGCAGAGCAAGATCAGCGGCGAAAAAGTCTAAGCAGGGCACCAACGAGACTGGTTCAGAGAAACGGGAAGAGTTCTTTCTCTCTCTTTGAAACTCTCTAGAGGAACGAAAAAGCAGACGAATGGATTTGTGTCGATAGCCAGAGCATTAATTGCACTAGCTGGCGCGCAGGTACACGGAGCACGACCTTCAGTATGGAATCAACGCACTATCTCTGCACACCTATCTCACATCGCCACGTGTCACCATGAAAGGATGAATGCATGGATTGTGTGTCAGGATTGAACCGTCACCAAGGCCGAACTAGGAAAAGCCAAAACGACGCGACGCTTGGGAAGCGGAGCAATAGCTCCCCCTAAGGGGAACCTTAGCGCGAGCTAGGGGGAAAATGAAGGGGCTAAATGTGAAATGGGTCGGGTCCAAGCCTTGGGTTGGCCCAATCCACTGAAGTCCGAATCCAAGTGGGCTGGATGAGTATATGGGCAAACCAATTGAGCCCAACTTCATGATCAACAGTCCACCCAGGTCCTCAAGCACTTGGGCCCAACCTCTAGTGGAAAGACTAATCCAGCCATGGTGCTGGGCTAGGCCGAGCTACGCGACTGAACCTATAGGCCGAGCAGAAAATAGATATCCGAATGGATCAGCCTATCTCCACGAATGATCCTGTAAAAGGCCGAGACAAGGCATAATGATGCCGAGCTGAGGCACAGCGGTACCGAGTTGAGGAAACCTCAGAAGGAAATGTGGAAGTTGTGAATGTGTGCATGTGCATGTATGAGTGAGCCAAATAAGATGAACAAGATAAAAAGAGGCAATAGAAGAAGAATCACAAGAGGACTTACAGAGATTAGAACAGTGGTTGCAGAGCAAGATCAGCGGTGAAAAAGTCTGAGCAGGGCACCAACGAGACTGGTTCAGAGGAACGGGAAGAGTTCTTTCTCTCTCTTTGAAACTCTCTAGAGGAACGAAAAAGCAGACGAATGGATTTGTGTCGACAGCCAAAGCATTAATTGCACTAGCTAGCGCGCAGGTACACGGAGCACGACCTTCAGTATGGAATCGACGCACTATCTCTGCACACCTATCTCACATCGCCACGTGTCACCATGAAAGGATGCATGCAGGGATTGTGTGTTAGGATTGAACCGTCACCAAGGCCGAACTGGGAAAAACCGAAAGGACGCGACACTTGGGAAGCAGAGCAATAGTTTCCCCTAAGGGGAACCTTAGCGTGAGCTAGGGGGAAAATGAAGGGGCTAAATGTGAAATGGGTCGGGTCCAGGCCTTGGGTTGGCCCAATCCACTGAAGTCCGAATCCAAGTGGGCTGGATGAGTATATGGGCAAACCAATTGAGCCCAACTTCATGATCAACAGTCCACCCAGGTCCTCAAGCACTTGGGCCCAACCTGCAGTGGAAAGGCTAGTCCAGCTGTGGTGCTGGGCTGGGCCGAGCTACGAGACTGAACCTATAGGCCGAGCAGAAAATAGGCTGAGCCCATACAAAGATATCCGAATGGATCAGCCCATCTCCATGAATGATCCTGTAAAAGGCCGAGACAAGGCATAATGATGCCGAGCTGAGGCACAGCGGTACCGAGCTGAGGAAACCTCGTAAGGAAACGTGGAAGTTGTGAATGTGTGCATGTGCATGTGCGAGTGAGCCAAATAAGATGAATAAGATAAAAAGAGGAAATAGAAGAAGAATCACAAGAGGACTTACAGAGATTAGAACAGTGGTTGCAGAGCAAGATCAGCGGCAAAAAGGTCTGAGCAGGGCACCAACGAGACTGGTTTAGAGGAACGGGAAGAGTTCTTTCTCTCTCTTTGAAACTCTCTAGAGGAACGAAAATGCAGACGAATGGATTTGTGTCGACAGCCAGAGCATTAATTGCACTAGCTGGCGCACAGGTACACGGAGCACGACCTTCAGTATGGAATCGACGCACTATCTCTGCACACCTATCTCACATCGCCACGTGTCACCATGAAAGGATGCATGCATGGATTGTGTGTTAGGATTGAACCGTCACCAAGGCCGAACTGGGAAAAACCGAAAGGACGCGACACTTAGGAAGCAGAGCAATAGTTTCCCCTAAGGGGAACCTTAGCGTGAGCTAGAGGGAAAATGAAGAGGCTAAATGTGAAATGGGTCGGGTCCAAGCCTTGGGTTGGCCCAATCCACTGAAGTCTGAATCCAAGTGGGCTGGATGAGTATATGGGCAAACCAATTGAGCCCAACTTCATGATCAACAGTCCACCCAGGTCCTCAAGCACTTGGGCCCAACCTGCAGTGGAAAGGCTAGTCCAGCCGTGGTGCTGGGCTGGGCCGAGCTACGAGACTGAACCTATAGGCCGAGCAGAAAATAGGCTGAGCCCATACAAAGATATCCGATTGGATCAGCCCATCTCCATGAATGATCCTGTAAAAGGCTGAGACAAGGCATAATGATGCCGAGCTGAGGCACAGCGGTACCGAGCTGAGGAAACCTCGCAAGGAAACGTGGAAGTTGTGAATGTGTGCATGTGCAAGTTGTCACCTCAGCTGGTCCCCTACACCTAGAATCACGGAAGTTGTTGAATCGGAGGAATGTGGTTTGTTATCAGCATGACTACAATGAGTATATGCATTCAATGACAACTACCAAGTGGTCTCTCACCTTGAGCAATGCTAAAAGGACACCTGGCAGCATCCAAACTCCATGAACCCACCTTGAGAAGCAAGCAAGGAACATTATATATACAACATGAACTTCACATTGAAGATAACTAAACGATTCCAAGTAAACTACAAGCTCAACTTAATATACATTCTCTCTCCGATCACTAATTCCCACACCAGAGGGGTTATCTGGCCAACCCCGACCGGGCAGCTCTAACAGTGCTTCTTGTGGCAGGAACCTCAGTCCCTGGATAGTCCAACCAAGTGCGGAGCCCCAATCCACTTTCATCTAGTGCGGAATCCGGTACGCACAGGTATGTAATAAAGCATTCAATTTTTAAACACTTTTGATTTATTTGTTTTGATTTTCTATTTAATTTTTTTTTTATTTTGTTGTAGAAGTTGTATGAACTGCAATATGAGTTATGATTTGTACTTAAATTGACTTCCTAAGTTGCTACCCAATACCTTTAGCTTGAAAAATATTTTCTTTAGCAATTTTTCTTAAATTTACTTTGTACTTTTTTTTTATCTAGTGTTCGTATTTGATTTTTTTTAAGCGTCATTGTAGAATCCTAATTTCAAATTCGGTAATTACTATTTTTATACAAACTTACATTGCATGAATGGTTTGTTGAAGGCAATTTTAGTATATTTTTATTTTTATTTTTTTAATTTTTAGAATGAAGATTTTGGAAAAAAATTTGGTGCGTCTGACAAATTTTTAAAAAGTTATTTTTTTTGGTCATTGAGAAAAATTAGAGTAAGCTTAATTTTATTTTATTTTTTGTTATTTATTTATTTATTTATTTATTTATTTACAATGTTTTAGATTCTTCTTGAATAAAAGGACCACAAAATGGGGAAAATTAATACGGATTTATTTATTTTAATTTGAGGAAAGAAAATGTAGGAAAAATGGTAACGTTTTAAACAATTGCCAAATAAGATGGATGCCCATATTTTCTAGTTTTGTTATAAAAAATATTTAAAAGTATATTTTCTAATTCAAAAATAAATAAATAAATAAATAAGTGGGCCAAATAACTCATGAATTGGAAAAAAAAAATCAAAAGAAATTTCTAAAGACTAGGCTTGAGTTAAAAATTATTAGTATAAAAATCGACTCAAACTCGATTTTTAGACTAATTTTAGTGTTTAATCTAATACTGGAACAAGGCCAACTCAAGACAAATTGAGGCCTAAAGCAATAAGTTACAATGAAGCTTTTTACAAATTTTTCATGTTATGTAAACTTATTATGTAAAAATTATTTTTCTAAGATTTTGATATACGAAATTACTAATTAAATCTTCATATCAAGTTTTGTTGATATATTTGTTTTGAATTAATAGTATAGTTAATCCACTTAATCTCTTTTATGCCAATTTATCAAATAATACAAGCATTTGGAAAGAACAAAACTTTTTTTTTTTAACATAGTTTTATACTTCAATTAATTCTAAAAATTCTTGAGAAGTTGTATTATCTCATTATCAACTTTGTTAGATTTTTGTAACTGCCAATTATGTTCACTACAAGAAAAATAGGATATTGCCACATTTTTTTTCCTGGCGTTTTTTAAAAACGTTGTGAAATTTTTTATGATTTTTCACCTTCCCAGCCAATTTAATTATTTTATCTCGTTTTGTGCGCCGTTAATAGAAAGCTGTGAAATAACGTTTGTTTGGGATTGAAAAGGCAGGTTTCTGATCAAAAGAAGAGAGCACAGGCGTGACTTTTGTGTGTGGGGGGGGGGAATCAGGGCCTTGGATCTTCGATCTCCATGGATTCTTTGGTTGTATGATCTGGACATTCTTGTTCTGTACTTGATTTGAGTGTATCTCTGTAATACCGTTTGAATCCCTCTTATCTAAGTCAATCTAGGGCTCAAGATTAGAGTTTTCTGATATGGATTTGCTACATTCACATAAGATCTGTAAACTTTCATGGCTGAAACTAACGATTTATAGTTGATTTCTAGTTTCTTTTCTTCTGTTTTGTACTTTTTCTTTCGAAATCGATTTATCTAGGGTTATGAGTGCCGTATTAATGTCTCTGATCACGCACAGGATAAGCTAGCAGCGTTGGATCTGGATCGTTAGCAACAATGAGTAGAAGCAAGCTCAACGATGTAGAGATGTAGATCTTATTCTCAGATCTGTTCTCTATCCGATCAGATCTGCTCTCTCTATCGCTCCGATCTGCTAGTATGGTAATATCAAATCTACTCTCTCAATCTCTCCGATCGAATTTCATGTATTCTCTAAATTGCTCTATGAGATTTGGACCTTTCTCTCTAGTTTTTGATTGAATCTCATTATCTTTGTCACTCTATCACATTTTCCTTCTAGAAAATGTCAAAACAGTTTCTAAAATGGTGCTGGTGACTAGTTTATTGATGATGACCGATTTGTAGTTGAGGGTAGTATTTCCTGATGAGTAGTTCGTTGATTGATTCTTATCCTACTGACATAAATTTTTTTATGGATTTTTTTTGTTGGAATAACTTGTTGATATTGCGATTCTTATTTGTACCATTTTCCTTGCATGTTAAATGTTTGATAAAATGTGTCAATGAAAAACTTTTGTTATTGTTACCAACTCCCATGGACTGCACTTACCAAACTGAAAATCTGAAGAATTCCGCTGAAGAGCTCTCTCCATTTCCAGACAAACACCTGAGGAATTCGAATCATTGAAACAAAGCTCTCACCTTTAAGGTATTTGAATCTCACTGATTTGATTTCGAAACTCTGGATGTTCTTTGATTTCATTTTGATTGATTCTTGTTTTAGTTTTTGTTTTTGGTGAAATGGGTTGTTCTTGCTTCTGGGTCTTCAATCTGTTTTCTTTAGCTCTTAATTCAGCTGATAGTTGTTTTTTTGTTTTTTTTTTCTATTTATTTTTATTTTAATTATGTTCAGGTTTGATTTCATGGTATTTTAGATAAGTTTATGATCTCGGAAGATGCGTTGGATTTAGGTTTTTGGAAGGTTGGGATTTTTTTGTATATTTGATTTTTTATTTTTTGGAAATTTGGTATTTGTAAGAGAAATTCTCATCTTTTTGGGCTTTCACTAATCCTTTTGCTTTTTAAACTTTTTACCAACTCCTGTTTTTGGAACTTTGAATGATGGTGAAATTCTTGCACATCCTCTTTTTTAGTGTTTCAATTAAAGTGTGTTGTTGATGTTTGTTAATATTAACTCTTTTTGGAATTTTATTTAAGAAAGGTTGGTTAATTATGCTATTAATGCTCTAATACTATGATTGTTATCCTAGATATGTCGTACTTAGGTAATTAATTCATTCTTTCAAGCCAAAATTCATACTGTCTGCATCTGTCATGGTCTTCTATTCAAAGAAACATTTCCCCTCACTTTCTGCTCTTTAGGTGGCCACAATTTCTGTTGTTCCCTCATCATACATGTGAGTTAGGTGGCCACAATTTCTGCCAACGGTGACACTGAAATTGGGGAACTGATAGCACGGGCAATGGAGAAAGTTGGGAAGGAAGGAGTCATTACTGTTGCTGTGAGTACTCTAACATCTTATCATGTGATAGATAACGGTTAATCAATTCTGTTTAAAGTTTACTTGCATTCTGACTTGCAAAATTATGCAGGATGGAAATACTTTGGAGGATGAATTGGATGTGGTGGAAGGGATGAAGCTAGGAAGGGGTTATATATCTCCTTATTTTGTTACTGATCAGAAGACCCAGAAATGTGTATGTATAGCTCTTCAATTATCATAAACATTCCCTTACAGAAAAAAAACAGCTGAAAGGCAGATAGTCACTTTTGGGAGAACCAAACTATTATTGGCCAAAGTCATTTCATGCACTATCCCTGTTTCGTTAATCCGAGTCTTGTTATTTATATGACCCTATCTGTTCCAATTTCATGATATCAATTGCAATTTGCATGTTCGTAGGAACTGGAAAATCCCCTCATCCTTATCCATGACAAGAAAATTTCAGACATGAACTCACTTGTCAGAATATTGGAGCTGGCTGTGAAGGTAATCAACCTTTTCTGGTGGGGTCCTCCATGTGGGGCAGTGGATATTGGCAAAGTCTTGAGGTTGTTGAGGAACTTATAATCAATAATTCTTTTTTTTGTTTTCTCTCTCTCTTCGCTTGTTCAACAGAAACATCAACCCCTGCTTGTGGTTACTGAGGATGTGGAGAGTGATGCACTGGCTATGCTCATTATAAACAAGCATCGTGCTGGGGTTAAGGTAATGGATTGCCTTTGCTTTCTTGGCATATTGCTCCAATCGAACCAAATTTTTGATGTATGAAACCCAATGGTTGAACTTTGTTACTTATAATGCATGTTTGTTGTCAACAGCCACAATTTTACTCATGGACTTTAAATCTGTCCTCCACATTCCTTATGTTTGTGCCATTAAAGCACCTGGTTTTGGGGAAAACAGAAGGGCTAATTTAGATGACCTTGCTATTCTCACTGGTGGAGAGGTAAATCAAACATCTAAATCCTAGGTTTTTATATTTTGCATGCTTGGTTTATTGGATTCACTGTGTTTGTTTTCAGGTTATCACTGAAGAATGTGGCTTAAATCTTGACAAAGGGGTGAAATATTGAAGCTAAGGTCAATGTGTGCTGCTGTGTGGTTATTAAGTATTTCAAGAATGCCAAAAAAGGGGTGAAATATTGAAGCTAAGGTCAATGTGTAAATCATTTCTGGCAGGTGAGAGAGGGAGGGTATGATACCAAGGTCAATGAAACAGTCAATGTTGTCACCACAAAAACAACAGAGATCGGACAGAAGACATGGGGGATCATGAGAGGGGTCATGGCATTGGCCTCACAAAAGGTGGAGGAGTACACTAAGGAAGGCAGCACGGGCACTGGCACCAGCTGGAAGGCAGACAACTGGCAACGAAACGAAAGCGAGGGAAATGGCTATTATCAAGAGTTTGCACAAGAGTCAAAAGGATGGAGTTCCGGAGGAGGGAAGTCCTCATCTGGTGCTGCTCATAATAATTCTGTTAGCTCAGGGTCTTGGGATGATTGGGACCAAAAAGACAATAGGAAAGAAGAATCCTCCACAAAGGGTGCAGCGTCCAGTAACTGATAGGAAAACTGTTGGGCACAATGGAAAATCCGATGGTAAAGATGACGGATTTGATCATTTCTACCAGAGTGCATCATCTGATAAGAAAACTGTTGGGCACAATGGAAAATCCGATTCCAACTGGACTGATGGCGGCTTTCTCTAAGGTTTGTACATGATCACCAACTTTTTTTTTTGACCTTTCAAAAGTGATTTTTTTCCCCATGTAACTTGTTGGGAAGGGGCTTGTATAATTGTGAACGGTGTGGGCGAATTGCTCAACTATAGAGGACAACCAATGTCTTTCGAGTGTGAGGAACACTGTTTGTGACTTTTTAAATTTAGATTGCTTTCGGATTTGTAACGACTGCAGCTCAATTATTATTATTATTATTATTATTAATGTTTTTTTTTTTTGGGTACTATTTCAATATATTTTGAGAATGGTGATGGATGATATAGGTTTGGTTTGAACAAAAGTAGAAGATCATTAATTATGATTTTTCTTTTTTTTTTTCAAAAAGATGAAAGAAACGGTGGCGTTTTTTTTAAAAACGTCGCGAAATGTCGTCATTATGACGTCAGAGATAACTCCATGACGTCAGAGATAACTCCTTTAACGTGGATAGTTAACTGCTGGAAAGAATTAGTGGCGTTTTAAAAAACGTCGCCTAAAGCCTTTAGTGGCGTTTTTAAAACGCCACAAAGATACAACGACGGCCGCATCATCGACGAATTTTATAAACGTCGTTTTATCTTTTTGCGGCGTTTTTCTAACCTATTGCGGCGTTTTATAAACGCCGCTAATTCTCGATTTTCTTGCAGTGGTTGGACAAAACTCCATTAAGTTGTATTTTTATTCGCTCTTTTATTCAGTGAAACTGTGAGTATTTAGATGCGAATCTAATTCGAATTATGTCTGTGTGGAGGAGTTTGTGCTGACATTCCGTCTCTTGAGTATTTTTTGTTTGTCATTTCGCTGACTATGTACAGGGATCGAGCTGTTTGACTACTCGAGCGGTCAAATGTGTTTGTGAAGCGATTCATCCAGTATCTCTGCCTGCATTCTAAACTTCTCGAAGACAAGTTTTACGGCGGTTGGCCTATATGTTTGCACTGCCTTTACTCACACCGCTCGAGTAGTGAAATGGTGGTTCGAGCAGTTTTCGTGACTCTGTTTAGTATTAAGTGCAACGTTTGCTTGTTTTACGATTTAACCCATTTAGATTCTCAGAGATGAGTAAAATACAAAGTGTTCTATATTGGAGGGTATTTTTATATGAGTTTCTTTGATGTATAGAAGGTGATCAATTGATTAACGAATTGCATATTAACAAACATCAAGCGTTATTTTTGTTCTTTTATTCATAAAAAGATAGAGATGTTCATCGATGAATTTCGTGGAACTTGGGCGTGAAGTTTTGGTGGATTCTAGAGTAGCTCATCGACATGGATTTGGCATCGTCATTTTGGATTCAATGTTGGACAAAGTAATTTCGAGGTGAAGACGATGATGGAAAAGACACATCGAATTTGGTTCAATTCGGACGTGGATTCACTAAATAATTGAAAGTTCTCGTACATATTTTTTTTTTTATCTTCTTAGTTGATTGTTTTGTAGGCTTGGCCCGTGATTTTTTTTTATCATAATTGGAGATATTCAGTTGTGATTTTTTTCACGTTAAATCATTGTGCCGATTTGTTATTGATTATTTGATTAAGATTGATATTTATTGTTTAAAATTGAATCATAATCCAAATCACTATTTCGGGAGTTTTTAATTTTTTCGAACATTTTCATCAATCCCAAAACATTGAGAAAGATGAAATATAATATTTTCTATTGTTACACACAACAACATATTTGGAAAGAAAAACACTATACAAACTTATAATTTTTATTAGTATTTTTTTTTATTAATTGATCATTTTTTTTTTTGATCGTGAAAATCAGCACCAAATTATATAGAAGTGGGAAATAAGCACCTAACAAGACCCATAGGTGGTTGGGTAACCCAATTCAGGGGTAAAGAGTTTCTGAAAAGCGCCGAAGCGACCCAGTGGGCTGCCCTATTGGCTTGATGAGGGCACCATCTAAAAACAAGTGACCTGTGCAAGGCCAACGATCGAACATCACAAATTAAGGCTAGTAGCTCCCAGGGAGGGACCCCTTCAGACACACATAGTTGAATAACGGATTTACAATCACTTTCGATTTCCGCTGCAGTGAGATTAAGAACATCTGCCATGAGACAAGCATGTCGAATTGCTAGTAATTCACACTGGGCAACAGACCGCAAACGGGTCGTCCTCACCATGCCATCCACCAGATGGCCTATATGGTCGCGAAGAAGGACAGCAACTGTGCCCATACCATGCTTCAAATCCACAGCAGCATCACAATTAAATTTCCATAAGCCGCGGGGAGGAGGAAACCAGGAAGAGCAGCCGCTAGTCATCCCTGAGGCTCCACTCTGCGGAGGAATGGTCGCTAGACAGGAGGCCAGAAATTCCGCTTCATCCCGCTTTGCTTTCGCGATCACCCCTAATGGATCAACCTGATGGTGGTTAAACAAATGATTATTTCTGCCTTTCCAAATTGTCCAAGGAACCCACACCATAGAACATAACACCGATTTTCCCCATGCAGAAGTACCTAGAGTCTCAAAACAATTCCGAAACCATTCTCGAGCCGAAAAGCTGTCCCGATTATCACATCTAAGGCCAAGATCACACCCAAACCAAACACATCTAGACCAGTCGCAGTCAAACAAGAGGTGCTTAATAGATTCCGAAGCTGAGAAGCACACTGGGCAGCAAGCCGAAACTGCACACCGGCGAGAAGAGAGGTTCTGATGAGTAGCCAAAGCATTATGATAGATTTTCCAGAGGAAATGCTTAAGTTTTGGAGGTAAATTCAGGTTCCAAACAATCAGCCACTCTTTTTCAGGCCACGCAATGGAAGAAGAAGGAATAGTGGAAGCCAATTGCGCTTGGTTCACGGCCTCGCGGTACCCTGACTTAACCGTATAACAGCCCTTGGAATCATAATGCCAAAGAAGGGTGTCATCTTTATCTGTAACAGAGACAGGAATAGAGAGGATAGCATCACAATCAGCCTCAGAAACTAGGCTTCTAAGCTACCTGTCATTCCACGACTTGTTGGAAGAATCCATGACATCATGCACCTTTTGTACCAACACCCCTCGAGGCTTAGCAGATTGAACGCGAAAGCCCGGAGTAGAGGGAATCCACTGATCATCCCAGAAATTGATCGACTTACCATTCAGAACTTGCCACCGCAGTCCACCGTTGAGAATTTGCCTCCCCTGAAGCAAACTGAGCCAAGCCCAAGAAGGGCGTACCCCACGTGTAGCATGACTGAAGTCAGAATTGGGATAGTAAATTCCTTTAAGAATTTTTGCACACAATGAGGTCGGGTATTTAATTAATCGCCAGCCTTGACGAGCAAGAAGAGCGCGGTTGAAGGCCCGAAAATCCCGAAAACCCAAGCCTCCATTACGCTTTGACAAACAGTTTATTCTAGCTAGCCCAATGAATACCACGCCCCTCCGGATCACCTTTCCACCAAAAATTTCGAATGTAGGAACTCAACTTATCACACAATTTGTTTGGAAACAGAAAGCAGGCCATGGCATAGGTGGGTAGTGCTTGGGCAACCGATTTAATGAGGACTTCCCTGCCAGCGTGGGAGAGAAGTTTGGCCTTCCATCCTTGCAATTTGGACAGCATCCTCTCACACAAGAAACTGTAGGCTTCAGCTTTGGAACGACCGCAACACGACGGGAGGCCCAAGTATCTAGCATTGGCTTGCATCGGCGGGATACCAAGAAAGCCACACACCTCCCTCCGGCGCAAGCAAGAGACATTACCCGAGAAAAGCACACCCGATTTATCAAAATTAACCGACTGCCCCGTTGCTTGGCCATAGGTATGTAACAGATTACAGATTTCTAAGCACTCCGTTCGCTTGGCCTTAACGAAGAGCACCGCATCGTCGGCAAAGAACAAATGAGACAACTTAGGACAGCCCCGTTTAATTCTCAATCCGGACAAACGCCCAACAGCAATACTACGATCAATCAATTTCGAGAGAACATCCATAACGAGAATAAACAATTATGGGGAGAGAGGGTCCCCTTGGCGAAGACCCCGCATAGGTTTAAAACTAGTCCGCTTGGCCCCATTTACAATCACCGAAAAGGATACGGTGGTGACACATTCCATCACCCATTAAATCCATTGAGGGTGAAAACCCATCTTGCAAAGCAAGGCCCGAAGAAAATTCCAATCGACTCGGTCATAAGCTTTATGCAAATCCACTTTAATCGCCACATCCTCCACCTTCCCTTTACGAATTTTCAAAGCATGGAATGCCTCATGGGCTACAAGAATATTGTCCTGAATCATTCGCCCTGCCACAAACGCCGACTGATTTGGCGAGACCACTGCATTGAGAACCCCTTTCAACCGATTGGCAAGGATTTTGGTGATCACCTTGATGTTAAAATTGCAAAGACTGATTGGCCTAAACTGGGATAAGGTTTCCGGCACCGGAACTTTAGGGATGAGGACCAAATTGGTATGATTCATCTCTTTCAGCAAAAAACCCCCCCGAAAATTTTTTTTAACCGCCGCACAAAGCGATGGTCCCACAATATCTCAATGTTGATGGTAAAAGAATCCTGGATAGCCATCCGGTCCAGGAGCTTTCAGTGAACCAAGTTGAAAGGTCGCCATTTTAACCTCCTCGTCCATGACTTCTTTAATCAGCCGCGCATTCATTTCGGGGGTGATAACAGTAGAAACCACATCGAGAGCTATGTTCATATCCCCATGCCCACCACCAGAAAAAAGAGTCGAAAAATAGGAAAACAAGTGGGAGTTAATATCGGAATCGGAAGTAAGAAGAGTACCATCTTCACGTTTCAGTTGCAGAATCTGATTCCGTTGGCGGCGTTGCTTAATTGTAGCATGAAAAAAAGCAAAATTTCGATCTCCAAAATTGAGCCAACGAACCCGAGATCGCTGATGTAAATACATTTCCTCCCGCTGCATGGCCATTTCTAGTTCATGGGCTAACTGCTTATATTAAGCTTCTTTGCCCGAAGAGTAAGGTTGGCTCTGTAACTGAGCTATTTGCCCCCGAAGGGAGGCAATATGCCACTTGCCATTACCGAATTCCTTGGAGCTCCATTCCCATAATCGCCTTTGACTATGTTTCAGTTTTTGAACAAGTTGGAACATGTGAGACCCGCCATGATCCCTGACCCATTCTGATTGAATAGTTGCCGCACAACCCGGACTAGTGGTCCAAAGCGACTCAAATTTGAATTGGCGGGG